ATTCCAAGCATGTCCATCCCCCCGGTTATTTATCACGTTCTGTGTTCCTATACAGGGGCATTTGTCATCAAAGGTTTGTCCGGGGTTGGGAAATTTGTCATTTATGAATGTCTTATTTTGCTACCACTTTATAAAAGGACAATATATGCCACATAAAAGTACACAGTCGCAACCTTATTGAAGAAAGATTTGGTATCTAACTCCTTTACAGTAAACCACTCCGAAGAAAGTTTGTTTGCTTATGTACGTGACATAACCTGACCCGCCTCCGACTCGCTGTCGTTGCTGATACTGCTGGTGGTCGGTACGTGTTCGTGGCACGCAAGTTGTCCACGTTCATTGAGTTCGTTGCTGTCTGGGGTGGGTTCGCTGGAGTAGACCTAAACGCAAGACAATAATCATGCTAGAAGGCAAGTCAAACGTGTTAAGGAAAAGCACACAAAAAAGGAGATGTAGCTTTACAAGAAATAGGAGGGTCAGATATGGACTGGAAGGATGAAAAAGACTAAAAGAGCACTGTGGCAACCACCATCAGCTAAGAGAAAGCCATGTCATTACCTGTGTGTTCGTGGCCCTGTTCGTGGTTGACGTGACAAGGGAATTTTATCCGTCGTGAAATGGGGCGGAAATGGCCAACAAGTTGAGGACCGGTGCAAACGGTTGTCGAGGAGGTGCATGTGCCGTTGGTATAACGGCGGATGAGTGAAGTTCCACCTGAGGACTAATTTGTGTTTTTATTGTTTATAAACAATAAAAACTCGACAGCGCCCATCGAGTTGTACTGCCAGAAACAGAAGCTGCTTTAACCCGTGACACTTCAAAATTATGGAAAAGGAATGGGTCGGGTTGACGCGTTGTTTGAACAAGGAAACCCCAAGACGCCTTAGTAAATGTTTTTGGTGGTTTTAATTCATTTTACCAATGCTTCGACAATCCAGCGGACACCCACGTCGAACCCGTGGTTTTGCAAAAAATGATCTGTACCAGTATTATCAAGCAGACTCTGCCTTTACCCATGACCGTCCGGGCTAGCCAGGCGTTCCATTTCATCAGACCGTGTTCACGGAAGGGTACGTGGTGCCGGACGACGCCACCTGTTCGACCCCCTCGTTAGCGTCGACGATGATTACGAAGATTGCCAGAAGCTATTGGCTTCTTGCATGCATCCCCGAGCCGTGAAGTTAGGCCCCAAAGAAAGGGGGTACCCTCATTATGCCTTGTGAGTGAAGTGAACCCGTCTCGTCTGGTGAATTGAACGCTACAACCGTGCACGGCGCAGGTTGTTGTCGGCTTCATGCAACACGCTGCCTAAAAATGGCAACTGGCGAGGAATCCGCTACGCCATGCCATGTTTTTAGCGGTGCTCTTACTCTCAACGAGTTTGTTATACTTCATCGCTGAAACAGTTGCTTGGCCAGGAACGGTATTAGTCAGGAGTTCGCGGTCCTCAACTGTTGCTCTTCCCGTTGGTGATGGTGATGGTTGGTGATGGTGGGTACCTTTTTTGCGGGTGGCCGCCGAGATCGCTTTCTTGGAACCGTACACCACTGCCCCACTGCCCGCTCCCAGCGCAGCCGCCTTACCCGCCCTGGAATAAAAAAAAAACGACAGATTACTCCCTTGTTGAGCTCGTCGTCGTCGTGTCGTACGGCGTATCATGGTTGAAGGTGACAGGCGGCTCAGCGCGGTTTTTATATGCTACATCACCGGCGATGCTCGGTAGGGTTTTTTATCTGCTAGGGGTGCTCAACCTGGAAGATGTACTATACACTTCACTTCACTTCACTGTGGTGATGGTATGGGTGTGAGCAACGCCGTCGATGTTGGCGATGCGTCGTCCCACTATCGTTGCCGATCATCGTTCGCCAACGAATCCATTTGACGTCGCAGTTCTTCCTGGTTCATTCCCACTCTGCATGTAGGCGTGCCCCGTCTTTGATCGTCGTGGCATGATCACGGTGTCTTCCTCCTTCACCTCTCTCACGTGAACAGCTGCCGTCTAGTGGACGTCCGCCGGGTGGATGCCTACCGTCGGGTCGTCGTTCACTTCTCCAGCGTGGTGGACTTGGCCCTTGTGGTCGTGGCGGTGGGGCGTCGGCGTAGCACCACCCGAATCTGATGGGGACGGTAGGGTTTGGGCGTAATGGGCCACGTCATGAAGTGTTAGCCCATACTGCGCCAGTCGGAGTCCGCCGATCATCACCCTGTTAAAGATGGCTACGCAGTCGGCGTCCAGGTCCGAGGGTGTTGTGGGAATAGCAGGCGCCACGCCCACCAACAAAGGCGAGAATAATCCACGGCCAGCATCAAAAATGAAATCGGGTTGGAATTGGGCGTCTGAAAACCCCAGGGCCCCTCTTTGGTGACATAACCACGCTGGCCGAAGCATACTAAATAGTGTCAAATTCAAACCGCTGCCTCATGAACAGTCCGTACCAGGACGGAATGCCACGCCGTGCCCGCTCGAGCAGGGGAATCGACTGTACTAGGATCGCATGATTAAGGGCTCCTGACCGCACCACTAAATTTGCTCTAATTAATCGGCATCGTAAACCCAAAACACATTCCACCGTTCTTTGTACGTCGCTTTGGGCGCATACTTCACGACCTTCTTGGGCACCGCACCAGTTATGGGTATGGCCTTGGTCTTAACACTCCTTTTAACTCTTGACCCACTGTACGAGCCACGTCCCTCTTTTTAATAGGTGATTCATAGATTCATAGGTGATTCCGTCTACTCACACGGTCAACACCAACTCAGCAACCTCTTTGACAGCACTCTGATCACTCACCGCCATGAAGCAACACTACAACACGACCATCCCACTTGACCTCTACCCGGCCTTCGACGACTAATTACAAGAATGCATCAGACCAGACTTGTAATCCCGACCTCGTTACGTCCGGGAGCTGCCCAGTCTCAAACCTCAATGGATTTTTTTTCATTGTTAACAATCACATCCATAAAAAACCATCTAACCTACTTTTTTATTCTCATTTGACGCATTGTTCATCGACGTTTATGCATGCGGCAATTTTTATTCATCCTTCCCCCAACAGCCATGAAACTCTTTCAACCCTTCGCAATAAGTAAAAAGCCACTCGTTGGCCCTATCGTTCTTCATAAGAACGCGAAAACCAAACTGACACCACCGCAAATGCTTCCAATCCTCGTGTATCTAGTACAAAGGCGGATGTCTCACCCGGTATTTCAAAACGCGATCGTACAGAACCACCGTAAATTCCTTGAGGGGAATCAGGGATTTTCTTTCCGGATAGTACGGAAATTACATCTCGTCTTGCACGACCCACCACCCCTTGTCCGAAAGCATGTACTTCCTTCACTCCTTCCCAAAGACCTTTACGCGATCCCACCCACTGCCTACAAGAAACTCACCACGCAAGGGTCACATTTTGCATCTTCCCCATCTAGTTTGTTTTCCTCTTCCTTTACCGTTCCTTCACTACTTCAAGGGAATCGTCACGTGATTTCCGACCATGTGAGGTTAACTCGTTTCTGATTGGTCTATTTTTAGACAGTCCACGTGACCTCATTTGATCTTTTCCTGCGATCTGATTAAACGGGGACATCACGCAACCTAAATGCTGTAATCTGATTGGTTAGCGACTCAAGTTACCTCCCTTAATACTGACCGATAACAATAGATTTTTCTCATTAGCATTAAATTTGGTACTTGTGAGGGTGGACGTTTGAAACGGGTTTAAGGGCCCTAAAACAGAGCGTCCAATGCTTATTTTGCAGAAAGCATTAAAAAAGCAACAGACCATTCGAGCTCCTAAAGTTCATGTAGTCAAATTTAATCCTTTTATTTTACATGCTAAAATGAACTTGAGGCATTACAAGATCAAGTTAACATAGTTGAGCACGAATCTTCGTCAAGAGATCGTTTTGCCGTTCTGTTCCAACATCGTGAATTCTAAGAATACAGTTACGATAATGTACAAGGAAAACGCTTACTTTACACAATACACTATACAAGACGGATATATTTGTCAATATATTAATAGTCATTAATTTCTACATTTACATAATTGCCGTATCATCATTGTAATAGGATTAGTTAATTTCTTTACTTGGTTAATTAGCAACAAAATCAGAGGCAAACAACCGCACAAACATAAGTAGTCTTGCTGATGAATCACGTTAGCCTGCGACTGAAAGTGGATCTTTACAGCTAACAACGTAGTTACTGTTTTCAACTTTAAACCATAGCTCCCCTTGAAATGACACTTGTAAAAGCTAACTGAATTGACCCCTATACTTGTTCTCGCTGGTTGTCAGTTAAACCTTTTAAGATCGACCGAATTTAATTTCTCCTTATCCTTAGTAACACTCCTCAATGAAACATTAAGATAGTGAGAAAAAAAGAAATGATAAGCCAGAAAGCTATTGATTGTGACACAAATGATCCTGATTAACACCATAGGGAATGTTGTGAGAATAGTGTTGAGAATATGCACTCTGATATTGGGGTTTACAGGACAGACGATGTTTTAGTCTATTCTACTCACTGCCCTTCATTGCGAGCTTTAAACTTCAAGTTGGCTAAACGAATCTTTAGATGATCTTTCAAAACCCGCCACAAAAAGTTGCGCTAGTCTTTGTCAGGGCGTCGTTTTGCAATTTGAGCTAAATGTACTCCTGTTATTTCAGTCAGGTTCTATGACCAGCCTGGTAAATGTTTAGCTTTGCTTAAAAATGCGAGAGCATAGCCGTTCTAAACATCGTTGCGATGTCTGAGACATATGTTGTTCGGTTTGGTGGAGCGCAAGTACAAGGGCGTAAGACAGTGACAGGTGCAAATTAAATCAATTACTTCAAATATGAAATAACCAAGGGTGGGCAATAAGGAGCTTAAGCAACGACGACGGCGACGGCAACAAGAACGGCAAAAAAGCAATAGGTTTATATTAGCAAAACAACAGCTTTACACGTGCACCGCGCTTTTTTGTACATTTCTTTGCCGTCACAGCACGAATACGACGTGAAACTTCCTAATTTCACGTTCTATGGAGAACGTGAACACGAGACAACAATTTCCTTGTTCTTTTTCTGAACTTAAATACAGTTTAGAATTCAACTCCTGAAAAAATCGCCAACATTGACAGATTAAACGTTTTGGAATAAGAACGGTGTAGTTTGAAACTGCGCCAATTCACTTTTTGGGTGACGTTTTCGCTGCCTTTGCCGTCGTCTTTGCTTAAGCTCCGTATTATCAGTAATAAGCTGGCTCCTGACTAAGCAATTATAACTATGTTATTCCTATAACAGGCTCCCAAACAAACGTTCTGCGTGTGAGACTGTTCCTTTAGTGGTGAAATACTGATAACATGTCCACTCAACAATACAATGTGTATTCTCCACGAAAGCTACAAGACCAACACGGCACAGAGCAGGAGACATCTACATCTCTGGCTCGCCTGCGTAGCTGGCGGGATTGTTAGCACTCCTTCGCTAATCCCGCCAGATACGCTGGCCAATCTCCGGCCCGTTATAAAATCTATCTTCGCAATTCAATAAAAGGCGCGAGTAAGTGGTCATATGAATACGAATAAGCAAAAATAACCAGAATTTTAGTGACTCAGTAAACATTCTTACTGTACAGTACCCACGTCTGACAAATCTGAGTTTTCTTTTTAAAAGCGTGACTGTTAAGTTGGAACAAGTTCAAAACCTACATATAAATATCGCAAAAGATGAGCTTTATTTTGGCTCACCCTGACCTACTATAAAATGTATCAGAATCACGACTAACTTGATATATTAAAANCTGGCTCCTGACTAAGCAATTATAACTATGTTATTCCTATAACAGGCTCCCAAACAAACGTTCTGCGTGTGAGACTGTTCCTTTAGTGGTGAAATCCTGATAACATGTCCACTCAACAATACAATGTGTATTCTCCACGAAAGCTACAAGACCAACACGGCACAGAGCAGGAGACATCTACATCTCTGGCTCGCCTGCGTAGCTGGCGGGATTGTTAGCACTCCTTCGCTAATCCCGCCAGATACGCAGGCCAATCTCCGGCCCGTTGTAAAATCTATCTTCGCAATTCAATAAAAGGCGCGAGTAAGTGATCATATGAATACGAATAAGCAAAAATAACCAGAATTTTAGTGACTCAGTAAACATTCTTACTGTACAGTACCCACGTCTGACAAATCTGAGTTTTCTTTTTAAAAGCGTGACTGTTAAGTTGGAACAAGTTCAAAACCTACATATAAATATCGCAAAAGATGAGCTTTATTTTGGCTCACCCTGACCTACTATAAAATGTATCAGAATCACGACTAACTTGATATATTAAAATTTCATTTTTGACTCAATGGATGCTTCTACATAGATCCGTAATCATCCAATTTTTTGGAAAGATATGTTCAATAGTTGCATTTTTACACGTAGTGAAATCTCTGAAAAATAAATTAAATACTGAAATAAAATATTGAAACTGTACAAAAAGCAACTAAAAAACTAAAAATGCTGGGAATCATAACCTTTCAACCAAAGAATGCCAATAAATGGCTGATACAAATTGATTCCAGTTTTTCTTCTCTAGACAAGCTTGTAACTTGCTTGTCTTTAAAAACCAAACCAGTGTCCTCTCCTACATTCTACACGCGTCTCCGTTGTAACGTTAATAAAATAGTACCTAAAAGGCTTAAACAAAACTAAGAGGATTTAATATGATCTGGATAAAAGTACATTGTGCCCAATTTTGCCCAGATTGTCGGGCCTAATTCTAACATTTCACAAGAATGAACTATGAATAAAAGTGGATTTGACTTTGCATCGTTACAAACAAGGGGTAGCCCCTTGATTGCCTTCCTCACACAGACTAGGCAGAGCAGACAGCAAGGGGGCTGGAGAAAACGAGAAGGGAGGGAAGAGAGTATTCCCCTGCAGCGGTATCCAGTTTCGGGTAAAAAATTAACGGTTTGTTGGGTACTCGCCTCGCACCTAGATGCTTTACTCGGAGAGATAAAGGAAAGGATATACTGACCCAAAAAGTAAATGCCTGATCTTAAACTTTTATTCATGTTTCATTGATGTTTGAGTGCTCCTATGCCAGGGAGGGGACAACCTGTAATAAGGTGGACACTAACGCTGCTGTGCTCTCTACTTTCTAAGCCAACGGAACGTTCCCAATTTACCAAGTACGAGGAAAGCCTTGTGTAATAATTTACCCATCAGTTTCCTTAGTTTAAAAACTAAAAAACGTAATCTGATCACGTAATTGGTAAGACATTTCTGAAGTTATTTACATCGAACGTATATCGTAAAAGACTTGAGAGCAGAATGCAGTAGAGAGCTTAAACAAACACGTTTTTGAGCGACACACGTTAACCGGAAGTGAGGCCTTTTCCATTTTAATATGCCAAGACAGTGCCAAATTTGTATTGCCAACAGTCTTCTATCTAAAATGGACGATCTACAGGCAAACATGGGCAAAACAACTGCCCAACGATGCAAAAGGCCCACTTCCGGTTGACGTGCGTTGCTCAAAAACGTTTTTGCTTATGCCCCCCACAATCACTACTACACTATAAGGTTCCTCATCTGGTACTAATGAACTTATCTGTAAACCACCCAAATTTCCAAACATGCTACGCTTTCCTTCAAAGGATCGCCCAATTACATGAATGTGCTTTACACAGCAGTTAGATAGAGGCAACTCAAAGCCACAGTGTTTCTCTTCCTTGCTTCTTGACTGAGACACCTTCTCATTACTACTTACGTTATTTATCAGCTTGAAAAAAACAAGTGATTCCATTTTCAGGTGGACTCAAAATTTTGTTAGCAGAGAATCTCCTTTCATCCCTGCGATTTCTAGCGTGACATGGCACAGTTCAGGACGGTAAGGTACAAACCGCACTTGTAGCATCAGGGAAACCATTGGCTTCTATAATAAATACTTCTTTACACTAACTTGATTGGTCTCCTTCTTTACCAGTCATCCAATAAGTAACCATCTTGCCTTTACCTTTCACAGCCACTAACCCACGGCATTCAAACGTGTAGCCGCGCGAGCACAATATATTATATACGCTTTGCGTGACCTGTAGAGATATACAGAACCAAACTTCAACCGTTTCTTTACTCCAACAGGCTTACAATCCAAGTTTATACATGTAATATCTAGAAAATACATAGTTTGGACAACAGGCATTATCGCGGAGAGAGATGTTTTGGGGAGCGAGCGCGAAGCGCGAGATACGCGAGAGTCACGCGAAACTCAGTATTCGCGTTGGAAAGTTACTGTAAAATTCAGAAAACCGTGAACACCAGAAATATTTCAGGAATGATGTTGTGCTGTGTGGAAAAAGCTAATAAGGCACAAGAAAATAGAACCACAATCAACGTTAACGGTCTTGTGGCTTGCTCGCGTGTCCTGATCTTGCGGTAATTGGTCATTACGCTAGTATTCCTGAAATATTTCAGGTGTTCACAGTAAAAGATAAAAACTACCTTATTTCAATCCATGGTTCTTTAGAACAAGAAATAGGACAAACCTGAATGTGGTTAGCTTTTCCAGTGCTGTACATACGGCTGGCCACATTGACAGTATCACCCCATATATCGTACTGTGGTTTGTGAGCACCAATTACTCCGGCAACAACAGGGCCAAAGTTTAACCCTGAATAAAAAGACAACACAATCGCAGAGATTTCGCTTTTGTAAGTGTGAGAGGATATTTGTGGTGTTACCAAAATAAATATGAATTGTTAACTTTTAAGACTAAACGTAACAGAATCTGCTATTAGAGCGACATTCTTACCAGTAAATATCGAATCAAAAGAGATCTGCCAGATGACGGTGGAAAAATTTGAATATTGGCAGAGGTCTCCTTAAACCTTTTATACACCCAAGTCAATAACGTACACATACAATATACATCTAACTTTTTTGTATGTGGACAATATTATATCCTAATAGTGTGACTGTTGCATTGAAAACACTTTTTTGATGGCTTTTACAGATTCTGGACATACTGATCTATATTTACTTACCGACTTTCATTTTGAAGTCATTGAAAGAGTGTAAATTGATGTCCGTCAGTTTCTTTTTCATAGCCATTGCAAAGTCAGCCATTGTCACGATATGATTGAGAGTTGCCAACTTTTCCTGCATGAAAGGAAAAATCCCAGATAAGCACATAAATTCATTTTTGATGTCGCTCAAGCCCTAAGGCCTTGTCCATATGCATCTAGCAATTTTTGAAAAACGAAAATTTTTGTCTCCGTTTTCGACAAAATGCTTGTCCACACGTTAACGTATTCGAATCGTTGTCGCCCGTTCATACGAACACGCCAAAACAATGAGAATACGATTGTGGCCTGACAGAGGGTATGCGCTGTTTTATGTATGACATCACCATATTCGAAAAACCTCCGTTTTTGTCTGTCCACACAAAAACGATAAGCCGGCGTTTCCAAAAATCTCCACTCTGGGGAGCGTTTTTGA